AAGTGAATTCTTACAGTATTTATCTATTGTCTTTGCAGACTGTAACAATGGATAATGCAGAGGAATATGTAGATCTCATGTTTGACTTCTGCATGCATACTGGTATACAGAAACAGATGGAGGCATTCCGAGGTAATTTTCAGTATGGCAAAATGTAAATGAAGTTAGGTGCACTAATTGATGTTCAGGGTGCGCTGGTTTAAAGTGGTGACATAGAATGGCTTTCAAAAACAAACTTTTAAATTAAGAATGCAATAGATACTAATTTCGTAACACCTTTGCCTTAGTTATGCCATTTTTAAACTTGAAGAGGTTCCATTTACCTTAATTAAGAAACTGTTGATTGATTCTGCTTTGATTAAAATATAATTGAAATGATGTTATTTTACAAATATTCCTTTGACTTATGTTTATAACCGTATCTTGTGTAAATTAAAGATGGCTTCAATAGAGTCTTCCCAATGGAGAAGCTGAGTTCCTTCAGCCATGAAGAAGTTCAGATGATTCTTTGTGGAAATCAATCACCTTCTTGGGCAGCTGAGGATATCATCAATTATACTGAACCTAAACTGGGATATACGCGAGATAGGTACTTACATTCTGAGTGATTTGAAAATCATAGCTAAAAGATACATTAAGTGACAAAACATCCAGAATGTTCGTTAGATGAAGATGCCAAGTTACATGGGATTGGTGGTCACTGAAGAGCAAGTGATTGTCTAAAGCTACCTGAAATAACCATGTGTGTTACAGCAGAGAGGTTAGAAGGTACTCGGTGTTTTTGTGATGAGAGGGGATAAAAAAATCTAAAATATTAAAATGTGAACAACTAGTGGAAATGTAATGGCAGCTAACTAATTTCAGAGTTTTTACTTTCATCTTTGGTGATGATAGTTTCTGTTCAGTTGGGTATAGTTGTTATTTGTTCCTTATTTCTTACTTCTTTCTTTTCAAGTGTATTTAAAAAAGAAAATGTGCTATGCAGGGAACAAATACACTGGTGATTGGCTATCAGGAGGTGGTCTCAATGTTTTGGGGTGTTGGGTTTGGTTTTTTTGCTGCTTGTCATGTTTAGTAGGGATAACATACAAATTACTTCTGAAACGGAGTTAGTATAAGCATGCTGAAGGATCCCAATCGGTCCCAGATGCTGTGTGGAGCCATTCTCCTATTGACCCTGCCCTGCCTGCAAGGATGCAGCTGAGACGCAGCGCCCGATGCCCGCGGGCCTGTTGCAGCAGGCTGTGCGGGCTCCATGCCCTCTCCTCCCCCTCGTTCCCTGGGCTGGTATGGATGAAAGCAGGGGTGTCTGGGGGGATTCCTTGAAGATCTATTGTAGTATTTTTCTTTCTTCCTTTTTTTTTTTTTTTTTTTTTTTCCTTTTCCACGTGAGGGCCTTAAACAGGATAGAAATTAAATTATATATAAATTGAAGTGGCTTTATACTGCAGAAGTGGTACAGAAAAAGTCTTTAAGATTACAGTCAGTTGGATTCTTCTCAGAATCAGAGAAACAAACACAGAATAGGTTTGAGTTCTATCTACATCTCTACCCATTCACACACCAGGTACCCAAATAACACTCCAAGATAAGTATGGAGAAAAGCTCTTATTTGCCTACGTATTTGTGTGATACTCAGCAAAAAGATTAAGGAAGTATTTTTATGAGGTTTTTGATGTTTTATTCTTAACTCAATAGTGAACAGGCACTAGAATCCTACAGTGACTCCTTAGACGTGACTAAAGATCATAACTGTACTGTCTCAAGGGAAATTAAAAAAAGCGCTCTCTTGTAATGTTATCATAACTAATGATTTGAACTTATTTTCAGCCCTGGATTCCTTCGATTTGTGAGAGTCTTGTGTGGTATGTCTTCGGATGAAAGGAAGGCCTTTCTCCAGTTCACCACTGGTTGCTCAACACTCCCACCAGGAGGACTGGCAAACCTACATCCCCGGCTCACAGTTGTGCGCAAGGTGGGGCTTCTTCAGGTTGCCCTTCAAAGCAGTGGGTTTGGCTTTTGGCTGTAATCGTTGCTATGTTAAGAAATAACAGGCTTCTCCCCTGCCGGTTTTTAATTTATGACATGGTGCTAAGCTTTCATTACTGACCTCTGTTTCAGCTGTTCTCCGACTTCATACTTGGATCTAAAAGAACTAACCTACATGTAAAGTAAATATATTTGTAAGTTGGCCTGTAGCTTTCTTGATGCTACCATTCCTTGGCAACTGGCGTTACGTACGCAGTAAATGCCATGCATGAGAGAACTGTACAACTTCCCATCCTGTATCAAGCGCTGTGAACAACTGCAGTAAAAAACGTTCATTCTTTTCCTCAGGTTGATGCTACAGATGCAAGTTACCCATCTGTGAATACATGCGTGCATTATCTAAAGCTGCCTGAGTATTCTTCGGAGGAGATTATGCGAGAGCGTCTGCTAGCTGCTACCATGGAGAAAGGCTTCCATCTCAACTGAGCCACCGACTGCACTATGGGACAGGAGAAAGTGTTTTTTGATACTAGTGAAGCCTCTCGTGTTTGTGTGCAAAAAAATATGATCTCCACGCTGTGCTCTGATGAGACTTGCCTTTTTTTTCACCTGTGAGGCTTTAGGAACATGTGGAATAAGTTTGTTAGCTGCTAATGACAAAATAAATCCTTGTAACTACACAGCCAGCAAGAAATTGGCACAGAACACTGTGTGATGCTTCAAGGGCTTGCACAACTGGAAATTGAGGTGGTTCTGTTTGACTGTTCCAAAGAACAGATCATCAGATTTTCAGTGTTCACTGATACAAATTTCTAACAGTGTATTTGTGTAAAGTTTGTCATTTAATACCTTGTACACTACAGTTGCCATCACCGATCCCTGTTTGCTGGCTTTAAGCTAACTGGTCAGAAACTTGCTTCCTTAAAACTTAGAGTTAATGGGCATCTCCAGCTTCTCCTTTTTTAATGGTGCCTGCACCAGTTGGAGTATTTTAGTGGGTTTATGCATATAATCATGCACAACCTTTTTTTTTTTTTTTTTCCCTCTTTTTTCTTTCAAGTGGGAATATATTTTGATTTCTCAAATGCCCTGCTATAAAGATCAAATCCTTAAGTGTGTTTGTGCAGCTCAACAATAAAGCTATTAAAAAACACTGGTTCCTAGTGCAAGGCACACTTAAAGCAAGTTTTACTTTTGGTTGTATTTTCTTTGTATATTATAAACATTTATTTAACTTGTTGCAGTTTGAAGTTTAAAAAAACCACCCAAATGTGTAAGCTCAAAAGTAATCATTAAAATGTTTGCAACGTATTAAACTGTCTCCTCTGAATACTTTAATAATACCATTTACGTTATTACATCTCTGTACGTATTCTGAACAATCTGCCATACTTTCTTCAAGGTTTAAAAGAAATACGTGGCAGTAACTGATCTCACAAACTCATCTCTCTGCTCAGATCTTTTCAGAATTAAACAGTGCAGCTTTTTAAGGACCATGCTGGCAGCAGTAACACTGCCTGTGGCAGCTTTTGGTGCTCTTCAGCGGGCCCATGTGACCTGAGGTTATAGTTCCTTGTTACATCGGAATAAAACTGGGTCAGATGATGCAGCCGAATCAGCTTTACTTGAGATGGAGCGCCTGTCTTGGTTTCAGCATGTGGCAAGGCATTTATTGGTAAGAAGTGGCTTACAGTGAGATGCTAGTATGTCTTCAAAGGTATTCAAGTACTTGATACCAGAAAAGAAAAATTACTATTTTAGTTGAATCTGTGTGGTGAGCTTTGTTCTGTGCCAGTTCTCTCTGGTAACAATGTTTGCTTGGAGCACTGCTGAAGGGGGGTTTGCCAAAAGGTGCTGCCGCTTGCCTATAAATCCGGTTGAAGCCAGACTCCTTTTCATAGCGTTATTTGTAGGACTTGACAGGCGGTATCTTTGCAGTCTTCCCCAGTAGCAAACTGAAGAGGAAGTTCCACCACCTCCCACTCCTGTGACTATTGTGCTTCAACCAAACAGCTGCATAAACCTTGTGTACAAGTATCTGCTCCAGGCCCCGTGCCTGCTTGTTTTGCTGGGTGTGTTGCTATTTTAAAGCTGCGGGGACTGTTTTCCCCCACACCACTTCGCACTCTGCTCCGTAGACCCTGGGCTCTGGGGGCCATTTAGATGCGGCCGTTACCTGCGCTCACGCAGCACAGGCTCCTTCAATACCCAGTTATGCCTAGTGTTGGTGCCGAGGTTGTGAAGGAGGGGCCGGGTACCTTAATGCTAGAAAGGGAAGTGCAAATGAGCTGGGCTTGCTGACTCTGCAGTGACTTACAGCGTGGCAGAAGGGGAGGAATTAGCATGTTGCGTGCCTGTCAATACAAGTTAGCGTAGGCAGCTATGTCCTCCTACTCCCGATGGAAGGTTTGATTTGGTACCTAGCTGGTGCTGAGAAACTTGCTTATCTCTTGTTATTCATCTTTTGTAAACGTTTTAATCATGATACATGGATAGAATATACAAGAGAAAAAATTACACTGGTGTGCCAGAATAGGAAAGACTTTGTGTAATTTATGAAGCCAACACAGTAAAATATTATCAACCTTTTTATTTTCTTAATGTTGTAATATTTAAGTGCCAAATATTTCTAGTTACAACTTAACATAGTATGCAGGAATACTAAATATGTCTATACTTCTGTTGTTTACATTGCTTTTGTAACCATGACTTACATGGAAAAGGGAGTGAAACCAGCTTTTTGATGCAGGCCAAATCTAGTTTAAAAGAGGTTACAAAAGTTACGTAAGTTTAATTTACAATACATATGTATGAAAATAAAAAAAAAATCAAGTTGGTGCTTAAAGGAAGCATTGAAACTCAGTCTGAATTTCTATTTCCCTATTTTCTGTCTTCTCTTAGGTCTGGCACAATGCTGTGTAATTCAAAGTCATACCTAGATGGCCATATGTAAGTTTCCATTACTTTATCCCGGGTCAATTTTTAAAAACATTGACTGTTCCAGAAGGATTTCTGGTGCCTCAATAAACCTGCATCTGAAATTGAAGGTTCTGCTTTATGTTTAGCTTTATCTTTCTATCAGGTACGTAGGGTATAGGAGAAACAGGAAATACTTTTCCAACTAATTTGAATACTGCATGAGTCAGTCTTGCGACATCAGACAACTGCTGTCGGTACCCTCTTGATGATTGTACTGTCTTTTGGAAAAACGCTGTAGTCGGTCTTGCATCTTCCTAGCTTTCTGCCACTTTGTCAAGCACAAACAGAGGGGCAAGAATTCGATTCCTGTTTGTTTCCACAATGCAACCATTTAGCACCATTTCATCCAAAATGATGTGCACTCTGTCTAAATTGAACATGATCTGGAAACGTTTCAAGTTAAGTAGATTGTGAACACCACGAAGATAATTCAGAGAAAATCCTAGGCACCTTAGTCTTTAACCAAAGTTTACAAAACCCGGTATTTCTTAATTTATTCTAGTGCATTTGGCTGTTTATTTTAATAGAGCTAGGGAAACAGTTCAACTGACTTATTTTTCCTGACCACAGAGATTTCAAAAGTTTGTAGTAGAGAAGTTGGAAGCCCCAGCAGCATCCCATCCTGGAAGATGAACACACAGTAGTAAAAGCAAGGTGAACGTAAACTTAGCTGTAGGTGTTTAATTTCGCTGTCTGCCCAAGTACCACATACTGCCTGCATATAAAATGTTACCAAGGGATAACAACTTTGAGGGTGAAGAAGGAAATATTCTGCATTTCTTCCTAGAAAAGTAATTGTCAGTCAAATTCTTAAAATCTGATTCTCACATTTTCCTTACCCAAAGCGACTTAACACTATTTCATCTGCTTGAAAACCACTTAAGGGGAATACACTGATACATAAAGTTGAGTCATTGATCTAATAATACATCTCATAAAGAAGAGCAAAAGCTACTAAATGGTTCATCTCTTAAATACTTTTTACAAGATCTTTATAATAATCTCTAATGCTCACCTAAGGAAAAATAATCTGAAACAATATGAATTTGTACTGTGGTGATACATGAAATTTAGCCGTAACTCTGTGTGTCTGTCCTTAACATTACCTAACAGCATCTGTCTCCAAAAAAAAAAAAAAAAAAAAAAAAAAATTATGACAGGCCTTACTGCGGTATTAAGCAGCGTTGGCGTTCTGTGTATGCACCGAACAACTGCAAAAGGTCACTTAGTGAAGAAAGACTCTTCTGTTGCCACTTATCAGCAGAACCCAAAATGGAAATAGGCGCAACGACCAAGCCTGCTGGGTACATCTGTTAGGCCCAGCTGACGTGCGTACACAGAGAGAGGGGCATGAATAACGCTTCATCTGCCTGGCTCTCCACCTGCTGCTGCTCTTTAGATGTGTTCCTCACTGTGCTCAACAGATCGGCTTTGCCTTCATTTTGCTCCTCCTCCTTCTTGCCTGGTTGTTGAGGACCACCGCAGTGGAGCGAGGGAGATGCTTCCCAACAACTGCTAAACACATCTTTCAACACTGTTTTTCCCAGCTTTGATAGGGGTCTCTTTGAGTGCCTTCTCTGCCCATCATGCTATTTTTGATGCTACGGTTCGAGCTCAGGAAGATGGTTTGGGTTTGCTCTAGTCCTTGTACTATTAGCAGACTTCCATTCTAATCAGTGGAGTTGCAAGAGACAGGTTTTTGAAGGTATCAACATTTTCCTCTGCTCAGCATGATAAAGCTTAAGTCTCATTTTTTTTGAACGTTGACTCAGGCATTTAAGAGGACTACTCTGTCTCAGTATGTCTAGTGGATCTAACTGCCAAAGAGCAGGAACAGGGGGAGTACTGAACTCTATAGGACGACAGCCAAGGAGCCACATATTTGTATATATTTGTTCCTCCTAGGTGGTAAATGCAAGTGGTGGGGAGGCGACAACTTAAACAACCAGAGCTGCAATGACATGAGCAGCATTGAAAATGAACTGTCTTAGGTGTGAGTTCAAGAAATGGATTCATACCCCAGTCTGACCATAGGCCTAAATTGCTTCTAAAAATCTAGCTTCGGCCTTTCGATACTGAGGAGCAGTACTGGCCTTAAAACTCCCAACAGTCTCAGTTTCTGTGGACAAAGGTAATTGTTTTACTTTGCTTGGCAGATTAAAGACTCAAGACAAATTTATTCCTCTGGTATACTTTTAAAGTAAATCAGTCTTTACACAAATACTTTAATCTGCAAAGTTAGGACGTCTTTGTGCCAGTAATGTGAGAATTTTTAGGAAGACAGCTCTCCTATTGCTGCTTAGTTCACCTCTGGCACTGCTGTACACAGGGCAAGAGGTTCTGTTAGCAAACTGAGTGAGATAACATTCCATTCAGGTTTCAACAAGTGATAAAGCCAGGTCCTCCTGGCTTTTAGTTTTTACACCCTACTGCTGATTCACAGTGCTCCAGTTCCCACAGCTCCTTTGAGAGTCCTAGGAAACTGGAACAACCAGGATCAGTGATGATGCAGCAGCTTGCCACTCCTGCCTTATTTTTCTGCATCAGCTTGTTTGAGGAAACATTTAAAAGACTTAGCACTGCTCTTTGCCCTGCTGCATTTCCTAAAGAGCTGATACTGCATCGAAGGAAAAATGCACACGTACCACTATGGTTAAAGGAGACGTCAGTTCACCTGTGGGGCTATTCCAGGTTATTTCAAAACTGGCCTCCTCCATTACAGAAAACTTAGTGGTACCATTTATGTCCATCTGTAACCTGTTAATCTTGGTCATCAGTCCAGAAACAGTGATTTCACCTGCAGTTTGAATGGGGAAACTAACACCATTCTGGAAAGATCCCTCATTGTGATTTTTGGAAGGTCTCGAAGCATTCTTTACCCTCAACCTAACATCCAAGCTTCCTTTCTCAGTTCCCATCCCGCTTCCCTTCACCATGCTGTTCTTGGCAAACAGTCAGATTGCAATCAGGCTTTTTTCCCCTTCCTGTAAGTCTCGTGACTGTCCCCTACGGTTACATCTCCTCACGCAGACGCTGCTGAGCCATTCACGTCTGAATGCCCTGCCCAGTGAGGGATAGCTATCGCAAGGCTCATTCCTCCCCACCTGTCACTTGTTTGGCAAGCGACCCCAAATTTCAGGGTTTAAAGCCCTGAAGTCATAGATCCACACCCAGTGACAAGCAGCAAAGCAAACCACTCTGAGCAGCTGGCAACAGGGAAGAGCTGTATTCGGTGTGCGCGCTGCCGTCTGCACTGCCCAGAGCTGTCATTTAAGGTCCTGCCTCCAGTAAGAATCCTGGCTGCCCACAAAGGAGGATTAAGGGACTTTCACTAGATCCGTGCAGAGGCTAACAGGCATTTTTTAAACAAGTCTGCAGAAGAAAGCATGTGTTAATCTGTGCAGGAGCAGATAAAAGTCTGTAATAGAAGTTTTCAGAGCACCCAGATAGGAAATACACGTAAGTTGTCAGCCTAGGCAAAAGGCAACATGTCAAAGACAGACATGAATGGTACTTTCTACTCTCACTAAGAGTTTTTATGGCACACAGATACTAAGAGGAGGTAAATGGGACAGACTTGTGTCTCCTTCCCCAAACCATTATACAGGCAGATAGATAGTTAAGTGAGGGACAGGGGAAGGAGGAGGGAAGGAAAGGAAAAAGGCCCATTTAGGACTTGCATGTGATAAATAATAACTTCATATAGAGACATTTTAAGATACCTCAGGATTTTTCAGGCACGGGTGTGTACAGGCTTAAGAGATGATAAAGTGCAGCCAACACCTTGTGATCAGGTAACACACCCAGGAGCACAAACAAAAGATTGTAGATTGCAGATTACAGCATGAGTACTAGTGGGCTACTGAACATACAGGATTACAAAACCTTGATTTCCACCCTGGACACTGGTCTTCAACTCAAGATTAGTTGGAGTTGCTTCGTTTTTTAATCTAGAGTCACACATCTTTGCTAACATTTGCTTTAAGTAACTTTTAGTCTATCTAATGGTAGGTAAATTTTAGGCACTGAAACGCATTTAATGCTTTCTAACCATTTCTTCCTCAAATGACTATGCTGACATAAAACAGGAGACAAATGGTGCCTTCAATTTCTGTGATACTGTAGGAGATTTGCTCCAACGCTGAGGTGAATTTCTGCCGAAGTTTGAAAGGTGGCTGACCTACCCAATGTGAGTACCTGTCCCCCTGTACATCTCAGACCTAGAGGGAAACTTTTCCCTTAACGAACAAGAACTGTAAGCTAATCCTTATAGGTTTCCATTTCATCCACTTATTTTACAGTACAAACTGAAGTGTACCCTTATAAATTATCAGAATAAATTAATCATTCAATTTTCTACTACTTAAATGCACTGTATTCTGAAAGTGTTATTCCACAGGCGACCAAAGAATCCAGTTGATGCATGTGAAGTATTCCCTGTATCAAAGTTTTTTATCTATCCTAGGAGCAGCAGCAGCTAGTTGCAATGGAATGTAATGTTTTTTTTGGATCAAGACAACATTCTTCACATGCTTGGTCCTAGAGCACCCTGACTTGCCCCTCCCCTCCCACAAGGGGAACGTGTCTGGCTCTTTCATAAGTTAAGAACATGTCTTCAAGTAAGCTTGTCTTCACCAGTTCATGCAACAGAAAAGCCAACTTTCTGTAATTTCAGAAACACCTTCAGCCAGTACTTCCTCCATCAGGTATTTTGCATCCAAGCTAACTGTACTGAACATAAGAATAAGCTTAAGACTCTTTGGCAAAGGAAATGGTTTAATCCCAGGTGGGGTTATTATCTTACACACTATGAGAAGCATATCAATGGATTACTGCTTGCGCTGCATTAACATCTAAGACGCTTGTAGTCCTCATCTTACATTGTTCTTCTCGGCCTGCTATTCAAGCCGTTGTCAAAAATAAATACAATCCTGAACAGCCCACTTCTTCATCGTTACACCTCTGCTTTACATTTAACAATGACGGTATCATCTCATTTAATTTCAACTATTTTACATATCCTCTCAACTTATGAAAAGCTCTTTTTCCTAAATGAGAGAATTATTTTGTACATATACAGAAGTAAAATGTTTTATTTTAAAATTGTTCCTAAAATGTATCATGTATAGAAGTGCATTTCTGAATGGAAAAATTATGTACATCATGCATACGTCATACATGTTGAGGAGAGACACATCAGACGTGAGTTTTTCCAATAGTATTTCCAGTATGATCAAATAAGATAGTAATGTATGCTACTGTTTTCCAAATATTTATATTCACACCCTCATGCAGAGGTTTAGTATTGTATTTTATTTACTTGCTATTTGTGTTTAATTATTCAGGACTCTATTTTAGCATTTAGTATTTGTTTGTATTTGGTTTTAGTTCATTTTTTAAATTATATTTTAGTTAATACCCTGCAAATCATAGACATGAAATACAGCTGGGGGGTGAGGGTGTAGAGAAAAAAGCTATCTATCTATGGCAACGCTTGGTTTCCTAAATTTCTTCCTCCCAGGCCTTTCTCTCTTTCCATTGATACAGGAAGTCAAACTCACCTAGACTGCCATGAAGCAAGATCAAAGCTACTGCTATTTGGCTTAAGACACAGCTGTAACATTCAGTTCTTATTACTGCAGTCATTTCAATACCTATTTCATTGTAAATGTAAAGAAAAAGGTAAAACCCTGAAGCAATAATTAGTTTAGCCTGAAAGTTCCACCACGAATATAACTTTTCATGTCTAGGTGTTAATGGTACTTACTTCTCTCTAAGCAAGTTCTCCCTTTTTTACTTCAAATGGTACGAGGCTTACCTTAATGACTGAGGATTTAAATAGGTGACCCTCATGAACATCAGCCAGGCTTTCAGAAAGGTGCCAAAATGGTGCTACTTATTGTAAGTGCAAAATTTGTGAAACCTCTGCATTGTCTTGACTGTTTGACAGTCAGTTCTGTGAAGGCAGTGTGAACTGGAATGTACACCAAAAAGAGAGACAAATGGATTTCTGATCCTGAAAAGGATACATCTAATTCACTCTGCAAGGAAAAAGAGATAGACAACCATTAGTTACAGTTTGTTCTCTAATCTCATAGTCATTAAACATTACATATCCCTTTACAGGATAAAGAAAGTCTTCAAAATATAGATACAAAATTTTAGGGCAATTCAGATTTCTGTTCTGGACTGTACAGTTATGTGCTCTTTCCTGCAACGCTGCTTTGCCTTTTATATGTTACCTGCCTCTGTAACAAAAGCTAATGTCCTGAAATTTTTATTTAAAAAAACCCACTGAGGCCACCCACAAGTAAAAATTTGAATATACACAGTGCCATCTGAATGAGCAGGTGGAAAACCAGCACCTCTGATCATGGCAACTCCAGCCCTATGTTCTCTCTTCCTCCTTCTGCAAAAACAGGATGTTAATGCCAAGTTTACAAATTATGTAAAAACACAGTTAAAAATGTTGCTGCAAATCATTTCAACAGCAAATCTAGATGTTATATATACCCACGGCTGTGGTAGCCATGGCTGGATATAGCAGGAGAAGGAAGGTAACTCCAAGCTTTGGATCCTCAGCACTTCTAACTATTGCTCCAGCCCCAGCAACACAATTCTTCACATAGTCATCATCATTCCCCTTCTAGTCTTGGCCTGGATTTACTCCAAGTAGTTTTATTCATTTAACCAAAATGTCTGACTTAGAAGCCCTTGTGGTCTCTCTGCAGTCAACGGAAGAGATGGCGTGTGTGGGTATCTTCAACAGCTGACTCAGCACACTTGAGGCATGACTCACTTTCTCGAGATACTCATCGGTCTCCACTGCGGGTAATGGGAGCCTAAGATGACCAAACTTCTAACTTAGGTGCCTCAGTTAAATGTCTAAATTTAGAAACAATTAATCACAACCTCAGCAGTCAAGATCTTCCACAGTTAGGGTGGGGCTTCCCCAGCCTCTGCTGAAAGAAGGAATCTTTATCTGCTACAGAGAGAATTTAGTTTGCTAACATGGTTTCCATTCATAGCCTAACCATGGAGCTTTAGGCAAAGTTCCCACTGGTAGAATTGCTACTGCTTCTGTGGTCTAAAGATGCTCTAAACTAGACTAGTTCTAGCCTACAGGCCTCCGCGGAGTGACCCTGCTGTTCTTCAATTAGAAATTTTTTATGCATCACAAAAATTGTATTTTAAGAGCCTGATCAGTCTGAGTTTCCTCAGCATTAAAAAGTAGTTTAAAACATTGGAGTATGTATTCTGAACGGTATGCAGAGTTTTCCCTGGATAGCCATTATAAAAGTGAAGGGGACTCAGAATTACATCTCACAAGCAACTCTGAAAGCTTTCCCCCTAATTATGTTAATGTTCTGATATTTTAATTCAAGCTCTGTAAACTCCATTAGATAAAAATAGGGTATGTGGAAATGTTTAAAGCTCACAAGCCTGAAAATAACAGATGACAAAATGTCCTTCTAGAGCAGGACATTGTTCTTTCCTTTCCCAGAGTTTTGTCTCCATTGTCATCATCATAATTTGGGATTCTGCTAAAATTCTGCAAATCCTAAACATTAATCCAAAATAGCACAGACTTGTATTTTCTTGCTTTGTGGTTTCTGCCAGAATCCCCAGCTAGAATTATAGCCCTCTGCTTCAGTGCTCTGCCATTTATCGTGTTATATGCTATTAAAAATAGAACCACAGAATGGCATGAGATTTCTTTAACCACTCCCCCCTCCCCACCCTTTTTTGGTTCCCCCAGTTTCAAACCTGAAGTGCTATGGAAAATACAAAAAAGTCTGGTATGATAAGCTCAGCAAATTTCTAACAACTATCAGTGGTTGGGTTATATGCATGGTTAAGGAATTATATGTACTACATTTATATGTCTAAGAACTACATCTATTTTTGCTCTACCTCAAGTAAAGAAAATAAAAGTTGAGAAGTGGTTGGAGCTCAATTAGCTAAATAAGATGTGACTAAATTTTATTGTGTATTCCTGTGCTGCCGAGATCAAATTCCATTCCTGGTTATCACTGCTTAGGTTGGGACTGCAATCATAACAATTTTAAGAGACAAATTCTGAACTCGGTACAGTCAGAAAGGGATATACTTAGTACCAGCAGTTCCAACAGGCTGGTGCGATGTTAGTTGAGGTAATAGCCTAAAACATTTGCCAGGCGTCTGAACAGTGAAAGGTGCAGGCAACTTTTTCAAGCATGTCCTTGAATTCACAGAGGGAGCTCTGCCATGTCCGCTGTGATACTAGTACTGGGAACCCAGTTACAGACCCTGCGCACGGATCTCTTGTGTGCATAATTACCGATGTAATACCCTCAAGTACATGGACTATGGAGGAAACTCTAGCCAGTCCTCTTTTCTGAGAGGGATATCCAACACATTTCAGCATAGACAAGCTGAAATTGTGCCCAAGTATGATTTCAGGCAAATTTGTTTATAACAAGATTACTACAAATCCTATACTAAATTACAGATGTTCTAACCAGGATTATAATGCTGTGTTTTCAAACTTTGTAAAAACAAACAAACAAATCTCCCACCAAAAGGAGCAGTGTCATTTTAGCTGGAGCCATGTCTGATGTTGAATCCTGAACAAAATGGCTATCTATGTAAGAGCTGTTTTACCAGATACCCACTGTTGCATGACAACAATATGGGGAGCACAAGTACAGACTGGTTTTTGAGGTTTCATTTGCTCCACCCCTCTGATCTTGTTCAGCAAGAGTGATGTCAGCTCCCTGCTTAATGCTTACACCATCTTTATCATGAATTAAGTGCATTTAGGGGATGTAATGCTAAGAACTGCAAAAAAGAACTGTAAAGAGAAACGTCTTCATTTCTTTAAAATGTATAAAACACCAGTGGCTAATTTAAGGGTAGAGGACCCAAAGAAACCCCTGAGTATAAGCATATAAAAATATGCTTTTCAAACAGAAATATTTCTGGTATCCCTTGTCTGATGATTTATAACTCACGTATACTTTTACTTCTCTTAAAAATCAACTAATACTGCTTTTTTTTCTTTCTTTTTTTTTCCTTTTTTTTTTACAGTGGTAATATTCATGCTAAAGTATTCAGAATTCTAAATGAATATGAAAAAAATACATTCTCCTTCAATTTATTCCCTGAAATGACATATTCACTAAAGCTTTGAAAGAAAAGAAATATTTCATAATATATTCAGTGTCTCACTCACCACTCTGCTGAAGTATTTGTCCAAAACTTCCACAAAATTATGAATTAGTTCATACACTGCCATCTCATTCTGAAATAAAATTAAAACCAAATGAATAGCTACAAAATGTAATAGTATTCTTTGTATTATTTCAGTTTGTGATGTATTAAAAGCAACTAGAAAATATAATAAGACCTACAATAAAGTGCAGAAGCTCGGGCCACCATGGCGAGGAGGTGCGGTTACCCAGCGGAGGTACCAAGAGCAGGGGAGTGCCCAGGGGCAGAAGCTTCAGGCCAGCCACACAAGTAAGCACTGCAGTACCCAGTGGATTTGTCTCACTTGGGCTGCTGCCATCCCCTTGCATCTTTTCTTCCACCATCACCCAGGTTAGCTAGGTAGATACAGCCCGCGGGGCTATGCTTACCCGTGCTGAAGTCACCCCAGCCAGCTGCAGCACAGAGCCAGGCTATGCTGGAGCAGTACAGATGGGCGATTTTTGTGTGGTGTAGCCAAGCCAAAAGGATTTACCCCAAATTACGTGGCATTATAACCCTGACTTGAAGACACTGTGGTAGTCAGCAGCTGCCTTCCACACCACTCAACTGAAGTGTCCAATAGTAAGCTTTGAATTAATTTCTGAGAACCGGGAAACAATGTAAACACTAAAGCCTTGCAGCCTCAGCCTGAACAGATGAAATAACAGCACTTGACAGCTTTCAGCCAGATACCTTTTTTTTTTCTCCTCTTTTTTTTTTTTTTTTATTAAGTACAATAAATTGTCATCTTTGGCCGAGGAGGTTAAAAACAGTGCACAGTTGGGAAGTCACTGCAGATGAGCCAGCTGATCTGGCTGTAATGCTGACATTTGTTGAGGAACCCCACCCTACATAAATTTGTTCAATCAAACATGAATTTAGAAAGCAAACTCAGTATAAGTCTCGTGAAGACTACCTCAGTCTTCGGACAGTTCAGTCTACTGCTACAAAATTAAATCAAACATACATTTTCTTTTATACCTCTATTTCACAGAAATAAAAATGTCTTTTTGCAATGACTCCTTGAAATTCTGTAGTTACTATTGCAAAATTCCACGCTGGAAAAAGACTTGAGTTCTTGCCCATGACTACTACAAGCTCTCATTTCAAGAGCGTATATAATTTCTTACCTCTGTCTCGTTGATTCCAACGACTACGAAAAGGGCTGCGTACTGTCGGTATACCAGCTTAAAGTCCTTATATTCAATGAAAGAGCACTAGGCAGAAGCAAAACGAGACAAACATAGCAGCTACCGTTTAAGCATACGACAGTATTAAGCACAGAGTGCTCAAAGAGCCTAACCTTTAATGTTCGTAAGGCCCACAAAGAACAACGGATTTCCCAAGATCCACCAAATTATTCTGACTTGGAAGAAATTTAGTAGGACAACTATTCCACAAAACTTTTCATCTACTGGCAGAAAACATGCCACTGCTTTTTGAGTGGAAAAACTGGAACATATAGAACACATGGGACTTCTTCAGGGTTTTAAAGCAGTCAGTACTTCCCCAAAATTTTCATTTGGAAGCACTTCCAAAAGAGACAACCACAAGATAATTTTCAAATTTAAAAAATGATTGGTATTTTTATACAAAATTTAAAAGTATTAGATTTCCAGACCCAGGGGGGAAATTCCTGTGTCTTTCACAGTAAGACAGAAGCCAGCAGATGGTGCTGTTATACCCTGCTTTACAGGTAGCTTCCTTTTTCTTAAGAATCATTTTGCTCAGCCCTTGAAATGGCAGCACACTGTTAGCTCTTTTGGTGAAGTTTCTGTTTGGAGATGCTCTTGCAAGCAGTATGGAGGAGGCTAATTTCTTTAGCCATTTTCAATTCTGTGAACCAAGGTACTTTACAGAAACGGCTATTTTTTTCCTCAGGTTTTCTAGAATGAAATATGAGGACCACTGTTCAAGGATACAATTAATGAAAAATAAAGCAGCTGACTTCAGAACACAAACCAAAACACTCACAGTCCAAGTCACAGATTTCTCCTCCAGTGCAAGTCAATGTGCTCAAGTTTTGCTAAGTTTGGTATTTTTCTTAAAGAACCAATGGCTCAATTAAACGAGCCATGAAAATCTCAACTTTCATTTAAGAAATTTTCCAACTTCTGAGTTTTCTGACTTTCTTTGAACGCTTTGTTTGAATAAAAATGCTTAATACAGAGGCCTAAAAATTTGTGTTTCCAAAACCCCCTGTGCTTTGTATAGTATTTTCATGATTTGGAATCCTCTCTCTTTAAGTTTTTATTTAAACTTGGAGCTGTCAGTACTATTCCTGCTACCTTCTGGCAAAGCAGCAGTAGTATCATCTCACTATCAATCTCTACCAGAGAAGCAATAACAGGATAAAATAAATTCTTCCTGGACTTCTGAGCTTCTGCAAACAAACAGAAGGAATCTTCATGACAGTGATACACAAAACTCAAAACCCTCAGAAAAACATATTTCTTCAATGCAGAATAACAGTTCAACTGACTGAACCCATAATCTAGAACCGCAATCTTTTTCTGAGGTACAAATGAAATAATGACTGCAATGGAAACTGATGCATTTTCAGAGTTATTGACATGAAAGATGTGAGATGTTGATAAAATAAAATGGCTAGGGGAAAACCTACAAAACTTACCTGATCCTTTGAACGGGAGAGACAGTTTTTGATTACTTCAGCTTCCAGCATTGTCCGTTTATTAATTTCTATATGCTCGTAATACCTAGAGAGCCTTGTTTGACCTTGTTTGTTTACCATAAGAAAAAATTTTATCATTTCTTTTTCGTTGATCTCAGCAGTAGATTTGAATATGGGGTGCAGGAATCAAGAACAGTATTTCTGTGAAGGTTAAAAAAAAAAAACAAACATACAAAGGAGTTATAAAAGACTTCCTAAAAACTAGCCAGCCCAGATCTGCATCTACTTAAAATTGAGTTTATCACCAAAACATAAATGTAGGAAAAAAATCTCTAAACTTTTGCATGCCTCCCATTAGTAAAATGCCATTTTTTCCTCACACAAATAATCACAAACTGTCTAATAAATAATAGCTTTCACATTGTCAGGCAAACTGATTTCTGGAGAATTGGACAAGCGAACAATTACTTCTTCAAAACTGTGAATCCACTCAACATTGTCTTCCTGCATGCTAACTGGTTTGAGAGCATTATCAGAAATTTGCCCAATGCCAGAATTTAAGATCAACACAGCTCATAAGAGCACAATTGTCCTATTAGTGTTTTGGGTTTTTTTTGCTCTGGCTTGTATTTAACAATTTCATTCATAACATCCTGACATCAGATTGAAGGGAAAGATGATAAAGGGAAATGCATGGGCCACAACACAAGTGTTTCTTTAACGCAGAATGAGAGCCTCCTAAATATTTGGGTATCAGCAGTATCAGGACACATCTTGAGCTGAACCAGGAGCCGCTGAAATCTGTTTTCTCCCATGTAAATTCCCACACTGACGTGAAAGGTTGATTCTGCACTTAATGAAAACTGTATCTGGGTCTGACAGCTAAGGAAAAACCTGTTCATGTTAATTACTCAAAACAGCTTAATCTCAATCTAAGTAAATATTAATTACATAATGCCACTGAAAGATAGTTGTAGAATATAAATATACCACATGCAATGTACAATGAAAAAGGCTGTTAAAAAGAGCACAGAAATATCAGAATCTGCTTGCTAAACGACCGAAATCTTTCACATTTTGAAAAGCATGCAAAAAAAAGGTAAGCTGCAGATGTAATTTTTTAAAAATAGAAGTTCTGGGTTATTTTCTTTAATGCCAGAAAACAGTCACTGTAATGTTTTCCATCTGACTGTCTATTTGGATCACAGATTTATTGACCCAAATGGTCTTGAGGTTTATGCACTGGAAATACAGCAACTACTGCAAAAGCTGTTTCTTTATTCCACTTCTGAAGAGTTACTCCTTGCCTGGTGCAAATATTCTCTCCTAAGGTCTCTCAGCTCCCGTGAGAAGGTTCAAGCTGAAAAAAAACATACCAGGAATCCACAGACAATACAGTGTAGCTCTTTGTGTAAAAACAGTATATCTTAATGCAGAAAAGCAAAAGGGGAAAAAATAAAGACCCAAAATAGGTCTCTGAGGCAGCAATCTCATACACATTTAAACATGCTGATTTTTTTATAACAAGGCAAGCTGCATAGGTGCTGCCTCACATTATTAGCAACTTGAATAAACTGGCTATATACCATTCACGGGTGGTAACAAGTAACTCTTTCAGGACAGTGATACAAAAAAACCCCAATATATTGTGCTGACATTAACTGCTGCTTAATTCTGATTCATATTGGTCACCTAATTGTTTTCCAAAAGAAAAGCCACCTCTATTATCATTGCTTGGATCTCAAGAAAACTATCCCATTTTCCTCAGTGTACTGTGGTTTACCCCGTATGCAAGGAAGTTTAGATTTCTGTACTAAATGTATCTTCACTAATTAGACCCGATACTGAGAATTAATTTCTTAACTAAGTGACACTTGCAGAAAACAGGAGTCCAGGATGAATCCTCAGGACAAGACAGCCCATTTGTAATCCTGACAGCCTCAGAGCTTTCTCACCTCCGCCAGGCACAGTGAAGTGTCTTCACATCCAGATCAGGAGCACGCTTTTGTCGATTCGTTCCACCAGAAGAGTCACGGACACTGGTCAGTGCTGCTGCAGTGGTGCACGTGGCTTGTCCACTGCGCCCCGGGCTTTGGAACTAGCACAGGTGGGTCTGTGAGAAAGAATGAACCAGGTAATTAAGACAAAAAAGGGCCCAGATGGAAAGGTATGGTGGGATCTTCGCTGTCAGATGGTAGCTTAGGCTGACATTTATGACTAAATGGGAGAATACCATTTATACAATCTTTTCTGCATTTAATAAGTGGCTCTTTTTTCCCCCCAATGTATTTTGTATTGCTGCTTGAAGTTGCAATAAGAAGAGATGTCTTAGTGTTTTGAGACATAAAGAAAGGTAAGAGAGTGAGATGATTTAGTCATTTTTTGATAGGAACCTTCCAAGAAGGAAGGATAAGAATGAACAACTCCTTCCAGCTCAGTATGAGGCACCCTAGCAAGGGCCAACCTCACAAGTAAAGGAAACGTGAAGCTTTAAAGCTACTTAGAAAAGGGTTGTGGTCTGAAAGAGGAACAACCAAAGAAATGCTGCCCATTGTTTTAATGACAAAAAATAGCAAGCTCAGACACAAGAGACCGAAAGCCATGAGCGTTCTTCCTACCAACTGCAAAACACGTCTGTCCAAGCTAAGCAGATGACAGTGACATAGACAGCTTTTCTTTTTTCTTCTTAGTTTTATGCTTCATCTTTGTGTTTAGTACTGCTAGTACTTCTGTTTTGAACAAGTTGTTTCAAAGATGTTTTAATAATTTAGTCATAAATGGTACTGAGGAGCGCAAGTCCTGTTCTCAGAAATCAGCAAGTTGCACAAATCCATCCTAGAAGAGTGAAAACCTGAGGCTCAACATGTCTGCAGATACTCAAGTGGGACCTGAGAAAGCGAGCACAGAACTTCCCCAGGAGCAATGACAGAGCTGTTGTACTTTGAGTTACTGCTAAGCAATATATAACAGATCCTATTGCGGAATTGGCCCCTAATCCTAATTATTCCTTTATTAACCTAATCTTTCTACATGGTTAATCCCTTTCTGATGTTATGACTATTGCATCTGCATGTACTCTTAGGAACGCTCTGGATTGTTTGGTATATGCAAATACTTTAGACCCGATTTTTTTTTTAATCCTCACAAATGCTCTTATCCAGAATACACATAAAAAAAAAGAATTGTGTTGTAACAGAGGGAGAAACATAGTAGTACTCAAATGTGTTATCTGTAATTTATGAGACAATCATTAATCACAGTATTAGAATGGATGATTAACATCTGTAGGAAAGACGTCCACTAGTATCACTAGTCATTTCTTTATTTTCCCACCAGCCCCAAAGATAGCTTTCAAAATTTTAGCCAGAAATTTTGCTCATATAAACAGCAGCACAAGCACACAGTTTTGTGCAGAAGCACTGGAATAAACTTACACGTACAAATAACATTTTTTTTAAATGTATAAAAAGCATGCAAGCATAGCTGTGGAATCTGACTTTCAGAATAACACCAGTGTTAAAAATATCTCAAGGGGTTTTTTATTTCCTTTAAAAAGGATTCCAAAAAAAAAAAATCACTTGTAGAAATAAAAACATTTGCTTGCACAATTTAGGCAAAAAAAGGAAATCACTGAGTTTTGTTTCTAACAAACAAAGTTTATTTCTTCTCCTTTCATCTTCACTTTCAGACACAGACAACACGTTAAAATTAGTTTTGCATATATAAGATGTAAAGAAACCCGTGAAGTATAATAAACAAACAAAAAGCGTATCTGTGCATGCTGATGGGTGGAGAAACTCCCTTCATCAAGGTCTATGTATTTGAGGAGCTCCCTTTTATGATCAATAATCGGTATTCTACTTAGGAAGATAGCTCCATTTCTTCTGATACAACTCTTAGGTGCTTTTCTGTGCATTCTCACGTGCACACCTGCGTGTATCTGTGCACATACACACAAATTACGATGCTTTTATGCGTACAGAATCAAATGGTTCACAGGAATGGGTGACAAGATGCAAGCCTTTCATATCTCTGCCATTATTTTGCTCATTTTAGTAATGAAAAGACATTACTATCTGAAGGCTGTTTGTCAGAAATGAATAGGCAGCCTCATTCCAGGTCACTGGACAACTATCTGCATCACAAATGCGCTTAGGAACAGAAGACTGGAAGGGACTATCCAGCTCCTGATGGACTGTCAAGTCCAGCTCTCCCCATCACAGTCAGCCATGCATTAGAAATTTTGTCCAGAATAGCCTACAGTATATGCTTTGTGCATACTCAATCTACAAAACACCTATGCAACTCTATGACAGAATGAAGACTCCCTAGGAACAAAAACCTCAGAAGGTATCACTTGGGGAAGATGTAAAAAGTCTTGAAATTGCAAACTTTCCTTCAGAAGAAATTACCTTCCGGAGCGACTGAGTAGCACTCTCCTTTATTTCCTTTATGAAACATTTATTCTGTGAGGATAATCTGGCATGCAACACAAATGACATGCAGTTTAACTACTGCGATTTAAGTACACGTTGTTACACCATGTTAGATCTCAGCCTCATTAAAGTATCTCTCGCAGATAAGTATCTATGAGAGAAAAGTGGTATCGTGATTGGCTTGTGTGACTCACGCTGGTGGATTGATGGAGTATGTAGTTGTTGATAACTTACAATACGATGGCTTTAACTCCATCTAAACCAGCACATACGCAGAAGACTAAGGACCTGGGCTCGTGCAGAGAGCTGCTGCTTGATTTTCCTGCCCCCAAGCAGGCTCATCCCCCTCTGCCTGTACAGGTAACTCCAGCCGTGTACTTCAAGACAAACTAAAACCTGCCCGGTTTGCTTCAAAAGGCTGAAACAGAAACCACGATGGTTCAGGAACTGCTTCCAGGACATGCCAGCGCTGTGGGATGCATAACCGCATGAGACACCTCAAAGTAAGGTGTCCCTGTTTGTGAGTCACACCCCTAAATGCTGTCTTTTTAGATACTGGTTGAGACCTCTTAGAGAGGTAAAGCCTGCAATACCTGTTCTGCAGATAAAAAGGTCTTAAGTCTCCAGCATGGCCAACCCAGCAGGTTATATATGCAGTCATATAAAACATATTTTAAACATGATTTTCATTACTTCTCCAGTAGATACAAGCACTCGACATCAATTTGTCAAAGATTTCACCAGTATTTATACATACTCTGACACTTAAATGATAAAAAAAAAATACAACCTGAGTTATCAGTAGTTATCAATTCAAAATAGATTTGCATCTCTCAAGCTAGTCAATGCCCACAGATTTAGAAGTATTTTAGTTACTGCACTGTATCAAAGTTCTGCAACATTCTAAGGCTCTCAGCTGAAATGTAAGGAGCAAATCTAGCAAACAAGAAATGCACCACTACATTTTTACAGATCTGCTTCACCAAGAATTAAAAATAGTTGTTAGAACTATAAGCCAATAATTTACTGCCCTGTCTGACTCTACAAACAAGTTGGTTTTCTGGATGCAGAGGTCTAGCTGCACTTTATGTGCGTACTAAATGTAGAACAAAATGGGTTAGACTGGAATTAAAGCATTAATAAAAAGAAAAAAAAAAAAAGACCAAATGGTAGAGGCACAAGCAGGTGACATCACGGGAACAAATATTTTCTAGGCATATGTTAGGCTACTGAGTTTCCTGGCTATGAATTTATTGTACAGAAGTACGTAGCAAATGAAGACCGCTCACATTACCAACATCCTTGCTCTTCCTATTTTTGTTTGGACCATGGACAAGGCTTTAACAAAAATCACATGCAGTGTGATTAATATTTATCCATAATAATAATTATTTTCGTATTCTAGATCTTATTACTGCACACATTCCAATTCATCCGAAGATGAAAGAACTGTGTCTCTGTGGCTTTAAAATACTGTGTTCAACTTCAGGATCAGGGATTTTAAAAAAGCAACCTTATTAATCTAGGGAAGTCAGGGAGGAAGGAAAGAGTAAAAAATGTTTTCCTTTGCTGTTGAGTTGTCAAAATGCTGGCTGAATATAGTAACGGAATTAAATTGCAGTAACTCCCATATACTCAGGAACGAGGAATGTCCCATAAGATTGGAGCTAAACAAAAGGCTAAACTGGTTATGAGGTAAGTCTTGATTTTTAGTAATGATTTGATACTGCCAGTAGACAATGCAAAAAATCAGCTGAGGTGGAAAGGAGTTGGATTTAGATTGGCCAATCTGTATGGAATCAGGAAAACTGCAGGATGAAATTTTAGTAGGAAATGATTTAATGGAGAAGAAAGGAAGGACTGGATAAACGAACTGAAATGTCAATACACACCTGAGGAGAGATTAGTAGAGAAAGGAAACACCTGTACTGAGACAAGCGGTATTTATTTTTTCAGTAATTAACAGAATTCCAGCTCTGTCAAGAATGAGCCCTGTTTAGGAAACTATCCCTTTTCTTACTGAACGAGTACAGCACGTAAATGTCCCGAAGAGAGGCAAACCCAAACTCCTACCTTACCTACAGTGGGTGACCTACAGATCATTTCAAACAGGATGCGCTGATAATCTGTAAATACTGCATTTCAGAGCAACATTGTGCAACTGAGGTAATGTCACCGTATCCGAACTACGGCATCGAGCACAGCATTGCTACCGCAGATGAAACAGCCAGACAAAATAAACGAGTAATTCCTTGCAAAACCTTCCTCGGTGGGAAGGGAAGGCTTTTGAACAGCAACCATCGTGCGCCTTCCCTTCCCACCGAGGGGGCAATACGTTACACACGTCCCCTATTGCCGACATACCACGAAGATGACCGATCATTTAAAAAAAAGACCAGCCAACTTCCAGAGGCATACCATGAATTCAAGAAACCTATTCTAAAATCACCTCCTTGCGGGGCGAATGCCGGGCACCATTAAACCGCGCTGCGTTTTAGCGACTTCAGCGTTTTAAACGCCGATTTCCTGTTCGCACGCCGGTTTCGGAAGCCGA